GATTGTTTCATCCTTATTTCCATGGCAACAAGTAGTTTTAATACCAAACATACCTGTGCTTTGCCTTACCTTAATTCAATAGGTTGACTTGTAGTCAGTTGTTTTTCCTACCATGTTCATTTGTATTTGGCAAGGTGGCAGCCACCTTAAACCCTCGTTGATTTGACAACTCAATGAGCACATTCTCTTCTCCTATCCATAACTGTAATCCTAAAATGATCACTTAATCCAAGTCATATCACTGAAGGTCAAAAAGCATCCATTCCTTTAAAAAACTTCTATTTGTGCTTTTAAGAAAGTAAACTCTTCTACTTGCTTACCTGGTGGTGAAGCTTCCAGAGACCACAAAGCTTGTTTAAAATGGATACTAAGGGGTGCCTGTGTGGCTCAGTGGGTTAAAGCCTCTGCCTTCAGCTCAGGTCATGATCTCAGGGTCCTGGGATCAAGTCCCACGTCAGGATCTCTGCTCAGCAGGGAGTCTGCATCCCCCCCCCCCCTCTCTCACTCTGCCTGCTTCTCTGCCTACTTGTGATCTCTCTCTGTCAAATAAATAAATAAAATCTTAAAACAACAACAACAACAACAAAAAACAAAACAAAACTGACACTAAGAAAGTCAAACCAGGCTAGAGGATATCACCTGAGCCCCAAATGCCACTGTGCCTAATGATTATGAACACAGTCCTACTCAAGTACAAGCGTACTCCTAATCTTTTAGTATGTGAGCCAAGAAACACTTTCCTTTCAATATAAGCCAAATTGAGTTAGACTTACTGTCCCTCACAATTCAGAGTCCTAACTTCATGAATCCTTTGCTTTCCTTCATAGCACTTTTCGGCTGCAATTTAATTATTTATTTAATTCCAGTTTCTCTCCCTAGACTGTAGTCTCCGTGTGACCAGCAGCATTTCATATATCAATAGCAGCATCCCCAATGCCTAGAACAGTTCTGACCCTTAATACTGAATGACTGAATAAACAATTCAAGCCAAGTATTAAATTCCAAAAAGCTTAAGAATTTAACATTATGAAGCTCTTTTTATGTGCATGAGAGATATCTGTTGTTTCAGTATGATAATACTTATATGCTGAAATCCACTTAAATTTACAAAGTATATGTAATCATTTTTATGAAGATTGCCCACGAACTTCAGTTTGTGTGATACTAAGTTCTCCTTTGTTCCTGTGTGAATTGGGCAAAGTATTTTTCTAAGCCTCAGTGAAAAGTGCACACCTCAAGGCAGGCAATCATACATAACAGCCTCTTGGTAAGTTGAATTAATATTAGTACAAAGGAACTAACCAGATAACCAGAGAGAAAAGCGAACATATATGGTCAATTCAAAACCAAAGTGCCTGAGTAGACAAAAGCAAAGGCCAGGGCTGCATAACACTGACATTTTTATTAGAATTCATTTGTAACAAATGGAACTTGTGTCAGCAAAGAACTGATTTTCATACAGACTTCTTTCGCCACCAATGTAACGAAGTAAGAAAATAAAAAGCACGCCTTTCATTCTGTAAAACATTTACGCGTACTACTAATTAGAGGTAATTGTATTTTTTAACAAGCCATTTTACAAGTTATTTTTTTTAATTTTTCAGTCTATGCATCCAAAACGAGAGCAAAGAACACAACTGTTATTATCTTTGTAAAGACACTCCAAGCTTGAATGGCAAAGCCACATAGCAGATGGATAGGATGGATCTGTAGCCTTCTGATCTCTGCTGGAGTATCAGGGCACCCATAAACCCAAAGGAAACCAAAACCCAAAGAGGAAAAAGAAAAGGGAATTAAAAATAAAAGGAGGGGCCAAAACAAAGCAAACCCAAAAATAAACAGGAAAGAAAAAAAATCTCTGTTACTGAAGAATTTTTTTCCCTTCCTGTGTCTATGTTGTGTTATTTACATACACACAAATGAATTTCTGAAGGAGTTTCTTACAGATGGGTTCAAGTAATAACATTATTGGGTGTAGAATCAATAGGGCAGTGCATAGTACAAAGGTATAGAAAGTGCAAAGTTCCCTAGAGGCCCTTCCCTCCCCTGGCTGTCCTCGCCGTTGTCTAACCATGCAAATCATTTTTAAAAAAGAGCTAAAATAAAATTCTGTACAAATCACTTTTTATATATTTTGATTTTTTTTTTTTACCATTGTAACTAATTACAAAATTATACATAACTACACGTACATAGGTAAATAATAGCACCGTACTGGTTATGATGATGAAAATAATTGGAAACTTGAAAGTTTATGGTAATGGTAGATAAAGATGTTTACCTGGGAAAATCAAACTAGAATGGTTGTACAGAAAACCACAGAGTGGAATGCACATCAATGACAGTAAAGGAGTTAGTTCTCGGAACAGCGCCTAAACAATAAGATATCTGAATAGCCTCTGCCTCGTTTATATGGTATACATCCCATTAATTTTCTTCTTGTGATTATTCTCCTCTTTCCCTTTGCCAAATGGGCAGTTTTTAGAGAAACTGCTCATTGGCCAGTTATTCTGGTGTGTAATATACACCATCCAATTCTACATGTCTAACATGGCATGTCTGCAAGTCTGTCTGACCCCCTTTGTTTCACTAAATGAAAATCACAGCACTCAGTAACCTGGCACTTGGATAAATCTCCAAAAGATACAAATGAAAAGAAAACAACAGAGCCACATAGTGCACATTCTTCTCTGGTTCTGATGTAGGTTAGAGAATCTCATTCTGAGGTAGCCTTCTAGATACTTTTTTTTTTTTTTTTAGCATTCTTTTTTCTTATTTTTTTTTCTTATTTTTTTTATTTTATTTTATTTTTTACAAAAGTGCTCAAATATGATGCTTGCAAGTGTTTGGTCTCTTGGATTTCATTCTGCTAGTGATGGTAAAATGTGGAAAACAAAAATCCTTGTATGCTGAACACCAATGAAGCTAAAATTAAACCAAAATATTATATCAATACCAAAACTCTTTAAGAGTTCCTTGGATATTTTGAGGGTTCTTTAAAATCATATAGGATATGGCAAACTCATGCCATTTCCCATGGTTTCCTACAGCAATTATGTTGGCAAATTTGAGATTATGTTGGCAAATAGATATTTTTTTAATTTCCCCTTTTAAATAATCCTAACGGATTAGTAAATATATTCCAACATTGACAATGATATTTGTCACTAAAGTAAGTTTTGTGCAGTTATTGAATGCTCCAGAACAGATTTGGAAGGGATTCTAAATAAAACAAGTAGCTTTTTCTGATGTTGGCAACCATGAAAGGAAGGGCCCTGATTATCCAAGTGCTTTGGCCTGGTACAATCACTAACATCCCCGACTTAGTTGAAAACTAGGAATGCATATTATTCAAAGAGTTTTTGTACATGTGGTAAACATATAATGCTTTAATTGGAAGAGAAACATAAATGAACAACTAATCAAAATATGAACCAAAAGCTAAAAAGAAATGCTATTAAAATAGGCATCAATTATAAGGCACTCTAAATGCATAACTAAAACCAAAAGAAAACAAAGTACAGCACTTCCCAGTTGTGCTGTATGCCACAAAATGTTTCTGACTGAACAGAGTAACATGAGTTTGGCTTTGCCCCTGTTACATATCATAAATGCAAATTTCATAGCACATATTATAGACAATATACGATTGAATACATTGTTTTTTAAACAACTTGATAGCTGATATATTACAACATTCTCCCCTCCTAAAGGGATATGCACTGACCTTTCCCACATGCACACCTCTTAGATATTTAATATTTTTTTTATTGCACTAGAGTGTTAGAAATATTGAACTTTGTTGGAAGCCTGGCTAAAAAAATGATATTTGTGAATATGAGTAGGTGGGCGGGAGGATACTGGATAGGAAATTAGGGGGTGAGGCTTGACAATCACTGATGTGCATTCCTCATTTCCCTTAAAATTAAAATTTTATGGTATTAAGAAATACCCATATGTCATAAAATTAATAACAAATTGAAAAAGATGTTTGTAATAGCTTCTCTATCTAAAAACAACAACAACAAAAAAGACCAACTAAAAAAACCCCAAAACGAATTCATGGAATAACTGAATGATAGCTATATCTATCTTTTTGTGTGGACACACTGTCTATATATACATAGACACCCCTGTAAAATATGGATATATATGTATATATGTTAGCAGCAACTTTATACTTTGCGCCTCCCTGTTGATTCCAAAAACAAAACAAACAAAACAAAGTTCTCTTTGACTATTTGAAGAGAATGGGTACTTTCTCACCAACCAAAATGGAACAGAAATGTAAAAGTAATATCTGACAAGACATATACTGTAGATTAAGAATATTGCACAAAAATGTGCAAATTTTCAAATTATTTGATATTTCTACAGCAAGATATTACAGATAACAGTTCTACAGCTTAAAAAAACCTACAATTTTGAAATAAAAAATGAAGAGTTATGTAACTTTTTTAAAATTCACTTTATCGAATGATACATTTGTTAAAAAAAAGTTTACACAGTTAAAAATGAAGCACAGGTCAGCAGTATCTTTACAATACTAAAAAACTAAATCAAGGACTTTCTTTTTAAACATTTCCCCCCCGATCCCTCCCTAAAATGTTATTATGAGCAGTATGGTGGGAAGGGGTGATGTCGCAGCAGAGTCCATTTTGTTACGAGAAGCCGCACCAGCAAACATCTTGCACTGATGGTGGTTCTTTGCTGTGATTTCTTCTTCCCTTTATTTTGAATCCTTGAGGTATCTGTAAAAATCCTTCAGATGCCTCATCAGTCAGGATTCTCTTTATTATTTTTCAGGTTAGATTATTAAACTGTGAATTCTTGGTCCACCCAGAAGAGTTTGTTTTTATTTTGTTTTGTGTGTAATAGTCCCACTAAGTGGTAGTTAGCTAGAAGTTAAGAAGGACTTCTCAAGTGCCCTGTATGGCTCAGAAGAGACTCCGTGGATACTGAAGGGCCTGCAGTAAGAACCCAAAGTGGGTTAGGGGTTTCTACGTTGCATAGTGATCAAAGCTGCCCAGGTACTCCAGTGCGGCTCGGTAGCAGAACTGGTACTGGTCCTGCAGGAGACCAATCATGGGAAGAAAGAGGGAAAGGGGCCATGAGTCCACTTTAGTAGAAAGATGAAAATCAATATTCAAAAACAAACATTACATCTGGATGGGGGCAAAATCACTACTCTCATCAATTAAGTCAATCCAATGACCAATCCATTTTATTGAGCCAAGAATGATAAGTCACGTGGGGTGTTTGTTAACTTCACCCATCAATTTGCCTAGAACCATGTCCTCATTTCAAAGTAGTAATAGCTGGAATGAACATTATCTTCCAGACAAGTGTGAGCTGTTCTCCAAGTAGTACCAAATAATTACCACCCCTGAGCATGGGAGCATATCACTGTTGTCTTTTACACTATGTGAATATTTGTGAGAAACTTATCCTCAGTTTGCATATTAAAGAGAGGCTGATCCAGACACTGGCTGTTCCAAGGAAAACCTGGATTCATTTATCTTCTGGGCTATTGCCAAAAGAATTTGAATAAAAAAGGATCTTATCAGATAGTAGACCTGACCGACCTACAATCAGAATTACCCACCATTTCTGATGTTGCTATTCAAGTAAGGGTGAGGAACCATAGGTACATGAAGCCACTTACAAAGGGCTCTGGACTTTCAAGCTTTTCATCCCCTAGAAATGGCATCCCAAGACTGGCTGTCTATATCAAAAAATACCCATGTCATTTGGCCTAATTCATTGTGATTGCTAGTCATCTGTTCTAGAAAGGCCCATATTAAAATAACTTGACATATGTCCTTTTTCAGACAGGGGAGAACATTATCTTACTGGAATAAGTTGGGCATTGTTGGAGAGAAAAAAAATAGAATTTTTGCCATAAAAGAAACTTATTTTCAATAGCCAATGGGGCTGAAAGTAGATAGTTTCTATTTTGCTTAAATGTGCATTTTTTTTAACAATAAAAATGGTAATGCAAAATAAATGGAGTTTGCTTTCCTGTGTTTTCACAGTAAGCTGCTTGGCTAAGTGTTAAGATTTTTTAAATGTCCAATTTCCCTCTGCCACCCCCAACACCCATTAAGTTTGTCAGGCCGACATCATGCTTTGAGTATTATAAGCCAAATGCTTTTGCTATTTTGAAATCACAGTTTGGAAGGTATGTGCGATGAATTTAGGAATACATACAGAATGAAGAATTTGGTGGCCTTTCGAGGAACAGAAACACTCATATTATCCTTAGAAATGAACAGTCTAATAGGGAAGACTAGCTATATCACAAATTCATATTATTCTAAAAAAAATGAGAATTCCATTATCAGTTGTTGGAGTAGAAAATGGGGTATTAAAATCTCTAGTGGTTATCCAGGATCCAAATATTAAAAATGACCATTGGAGAATGGAGAAGTAAAATGTGCTGAGGGTCTATTATGTACCAGGCAATGTGCTTCTTAAAGTTGTCAAATAGTGATAATTTATCACGATTCAACCTACTATATAATCTAACATGATTTCCAAAACAACTGTAAGACTTTGAAATTGTCACTCCCATATATAGAGAGGAAAAAATGAGTTCAAAATATTGAACAATCTGATTGTTTTCCCACAGGAATTTCCCCTATTTTGCTCTGGTGTTGAGAGTCTCTGGGCCCTAAGAGGTCCTGGTTAATAAACTCTATTATTCGGTTCATGAGATGTTTTAAACTCATGGAGATTTTTCTCACCTCTGTCTGTACCATGGCTGGTCGTTGTGTTCTTAACATTTTGACAGTCTGGAAGATATCTACAACTCCTTCATATCTCATTCTTTCCAAAACAATGCTTAGTGTTATGAAGACTCCAGTTCTTCCAACGCCCGCACTGCCATAATAACAAAGACAGTGTTACTGGATGTGACACTCATAGTCTTGACCACATTCACTTGGAAGTAGACATATGTGCACCCACTTCCATATTACACCAGGTTCTTTTACAGCAATGTTCAGGAAAATGTGGTATTGGGTTCATGAAATTACTATTATTGGAATAATGTGTCATGGTAAAATGTGAGCATGAATGTGCAGTAATGAAGATTAACTCCAATACAGTAGAATGACTTTTCAACTGGGATTATACTCCATTTTGGAAAGATGCTGGAAACATAAATATTGCAAAATCAATAGATACAGGGAAAGGTAAGTATAGTATAGGTTAGTACTCTTCATGCAGATCCTGCAATTGTAGACCTTGTCTGCTTAATATTTTTAAAGTATGGAATAATTCAGATAAGGGAAGATTAACTCAGTCTCTTCAAGTTTTCTAGTACATTATTTACTTCTTGTGGTCACAATCTATGCAGGATGTTTCATCACTAGACATATAAATAAATAAGGCATATATACTATTCAGATTGAGATGTCCATTTAACAGATTCTGTTCTGGGTTTTTGATTTGTGATCCTTATTCAGTCTTTAGAAGAGTTTGTGAATATCTTATACTTAGAAGCTGTGTAAATGTATATACATTTGTCCTCTCTCCTGAAACTGAGGACTTTAACAGATTCTCAAAGAGGTCTCTAACTTAAAAAAAAAAAAAAAAAAAAAAAAAAAAGGTTGAGCTTCACTGAGTTTATCTACTACATTTAGATGTTCAGCAGCTAAAACACCAGGATTCTTTCTACCATGTTAGCAAGGTTTTGAGTTTGTTTTCTTTATTGTTTTAAGATAATTCCAGAATGTTCACTGCAGCAAGAGGAGAAAATTAACTCATAGCTTTTGTGCTCTTAAAGAGTAGGGAAGCATCTGGAGGTTTAGGTAATGAGGAGAAGAGTGAATAATCTGAAAAATCCCTACATTTTTGGATCCTAATTAAATGGCATGTGTAACGCTTGGGTACAGGCTATAGAAAATGGATGGATTCATTTACTTGGGGATGTAGCTGACAGGCATATATAAATAGTGTGTCCCTTTACAAGCTGGTTTTCTTTGTTTTGCCTTTTTTTTTTTTTTTTAAGATTTTATTTATTTAACAGAGAGAGTAAGAGAGCATAGCAGGGAAGCAGTGGAAGGAAGGGGAGAAGGCGGCTCCCCACTGAGCAGGCAGGGAGCCTGATTCCCAGCTCCAATCCAGGACCTCGGGATCATGACCTGAGCTGAAGGTGAACGCTTAACCATCTGAGCCACTCAGGAGCCCCTCAAACTGGGTTTTCTAAAGAGTCCAAACCAAAATGTAAAGTGAGACTTTAAAATCCAGTGGTAGTCTTTACACTGCGGCTAAGGATGTCCAGGAGCAGTGAAGGTTCCCTGTTAAGATAGAGTAGATGACCTTGAAGGTCCCTTTCAACCTTGAAAGTCTCTCTTACTCCTAAGAGGTTGTGATTTATGATCCTTTCCCCGTCCCCCCCTTCTGAATGGCCTAGGCATTTCAGAGTCTATTTAATAGGATATAGTTAAACTCCATATACTAAAGGAATATTTAAATCATTCTGTGACAGCAAAAGTAATGAGAAGTAGCACACATTTATACAGTTATGGTAATGTCTAAAGTTAAACATATATATTAAATATATTCTTTTTTATAGTTTATGCTAGAAAATTGTGAATTAGCATTTGAGCAAATTATGTGGAAAGTGAAGGAGAATATCCAAGTAATTTTAGTCCAGTCTATACCATCTACTTTGTCTGAATATTTGAGTCCATATGTTGTTCCCTACATGATCTTTGGTTGTCTAGAGTAACCAAACTCAACACAAAGCAAATGTGAATAAAGAAAGTCTGCTGCTCATTAGAATATATCATCCCTGGGGAACATCATGCCCTCAAAAAGATCTTAGAGAGATTCTATGATTCTGTCATAGAGCTACATGATGACAGAAGTGAGGCTAGAATTCAGCTATCTTAAAGCCCGAGTTGAATGTTTCTTCCATTTTGAGAGCTTGTCTCCCCTTTCACTAAGAATCATAGTTTGTAATCTTTCTCTTTCTCTTTTTCTTTTTCCTCCCTCCCTTCTTTCCTTCTTTTTCTTTTCTTGAAGCAAACTGTTGAACTCTCTCAAGATTTTGACCACAAAGAGAGTAGAAACAGACTTCAAATTGCTAGAATCTGAAAATATATTAGTGTAAAAAAAATTAGGTGAATTCCTTTTGCTGGAAGGTTTCTGCCTAACAACTTCCCAAAGCACTAAATTTATGGTGAGTGTCCTTTCTGAACCGTTTACTTGCTATTTCTATTAACTTCAATGACTTGAATTATAAAATGCTGTGGAAACTATTGAAAATAATTAACTTGAAGGTGCTTCATTTTCTGATATAGCAACAATTTTCAGGCAAATTGCAATTTTGATGGAGGTACCATTCTAATCATTTACTGACTGGCAAGAATTAGTATTGTCATTAAGGCTGGATAACTATTTATGTTTTCCTAAAAAGACAAACACAGGAGATAGATACAGAAAGACAGTTATGAGTACAATGCCATGGAAATAAAACAAGTAAGACATGATTAACTGAACAAATTTTCACCAGCAGATGTACCAACAATTCCTATTCAGGTAAACTAGGCAGTTTGGTGTTTTTTACAAGAAGTAAAATTTGGGGATAAAAATTTTACCCCTGGTTATTTTCATTTTATGGAAAGAAAGAGAAATGAGTCCTTGCTTAAGATTTTACAATGTATTTCTGAGAATAAAATATCAATTATGCAGATTCACTCCAATTAGCAAATACTGACAATGAACAGACAACAATGCACATTATCAAAGTTATTAGCACATTAATCACAAATGGAAACTCATCATTCTTGATTCTTCACTCACCTGCAATGGACTGAAATGGGCCCATCTTGGCCAAACTGCTCTTTTGTTTTATGAACTTGGCCAATGAAGTCAATAAATCCTTCTCCAGACTTTGGCACTCCTTGTTCTGGCCAGTCAGTGAACTGGAACTGCCTCACTGTTCGGGACTGACCGTCCTTCAGAAAGAAAGCCACATATCCAGCCACAAAGAAGGATGCCAGGAAGATTCAGCCAGTGTACAGACCACAGCAGCAAAAGTGATTTTTTTTTTCCAGAAAGAAGAAAAAGTGGGGGATGGGGGTAAGAAAAAGTTAGAATCATGTTTAACTAGAAACTTAGCAACATGTGCGTCTTATCTGTTATTAACACTGTTTACAGTCACATATATTTAAATTGCAAATTCATTCTGGCAATGCCCAAGTAAAAACCTGGATTCTTGAAGAGTCATCCCGTTCCCATAATAGCAAGTGCTTCTGAGACCCAAAATTCGCTTTCAAAACCAAAGTGGACCACTATACTCTATTTCAAAAATTTTAGAAATCAATTAACTTAATATTGAAAACAGCATCCAGGCATGTCATCCAGACCAGAGATTTTGTTATTGTCACAATAACTTCACATCTGCTGTGCTTGCTTATTTCTAGCACTGTCAAGTGACAAATAGTGACACTGAAAGGATCTGACACAAACTGGGTAGCTGTTAACCTGGATGCCCCACATGTCTCAGAGGCATACAATTTCTAGCTGTAGCAGTGCACACAGAATGTGCTATGCAACTATGCTGTTGAGTAAGAAGTGAGGCGTCCCTCATGGAAAGGAAAGAGATTATTAGCAAATAAACACTTTATTCTGAAAAAGAGGACTCTTCTGGCTGACCACAGGAATTAAGGCACTCATGGGGGGGCTTTAACAGGTAGACCGAACAGTGGAAAGAAAGCAAGCTGGATAGAAGAGGAGTCTTTTTTAAAGTGATTAGGCAAAAGTGCTCAGACTCATGAAGTATAAATGGTTTGAGAAGGAGCTACTAATATGCTTCTGATTCCTTCTAGAACAGTGTTTTCAGAAGCACAACAAAAGCAGAAGGGATCCTCTGTTTCCAGAAATAAGAATAACAGTTATGCCCACCAACTTTCTTTGAATCCACTGAGAGGAAAAGAATTCAAATTTCAAGCTTGGAGAGACCAATCCTGTTTTAAGAGGCCCTGCTCCCAGTTAAGACTTCCATTTGTTTCTCCTTTCCATTTTTGTAACACCTCTTTCCCCTTTAAAGGCCTTTTGGATATGAGTGTGCATGTTCCCCAGTAGACAAAGACCCAATTTTTCCCATTCAGTCATATTGAGAGGTAGGGATGGCTTAGCTCGAGGTGGGCATATATCAACTGGCCTTGTGGTTTCCACAGGAACAGGGCATATTCCTGATGGCATCATTTGATAAAGCAGGAAGATCACATTAAGTTTGTGAGAACACTCAGAAATATGAAAATAACTGCTTGACCCCATTATTAACTTATGGATGGTTACCATGGAAGCATGATTTACTTCCCTCTGTTTCTGGAAAAGGTTTGGAAAGCACAAGGAGGAAACCAAAGGCTGGGTAAACAGATTTGTCCTCCTCCAAATACCCCAGAGATTTCATTTCTGACCACAGTTGCTTTTAGCAGCAAGAAGAGGTCATGTGCACAAACCCTTCCTATTTAGAGGAAAGACCGGCTGACACCATTTAAAGGTTACCTGTTTAACAAAACTGCGTTCCAAGTGCCAACTTGGAACTGGAAAGTTCAGATTAGAAACACACTAGGAACACAAACAGCAAATGCGATGGCAGCTAGGAAAATTATAAAAGTCACAGGGGGCCTTTTTTAAATAGAAAGAATGTGAACAGGTTCTTACTTCAATATTTCTTTTGATTTTTGGGATCAGATTTTAATTTGGGCAAGTGAGGAGTAGTAAAGAAGGTGTGTCTGCTATTTGCAGGGCCTGGACCCTAGTCTTTATCATCAGAAATGGTTGGTGAGTTTGCTTGGAATGTACTGAAGATTTTTCACTCATATATCTATCTTCAAATTCTGAAAGGCCACTTCTTTTTTTTTTTTTTTAAACAATGGGATGGGTCACAAAGGCATGCCTACTTGGGCAACTCAAAAACGAGCCCGACAGACTTAACTGCTACCTTGAGTACGGTCACCTTCAGAGTAGTTAAGATCCCAGTTCCTGGGATTAACAGGTCTATCACCTGGGCCAACCAGCCTGCTGACCATTTTCTCTTTCACTTTAGGGCAACAGCCAGGGCATGGCTTTGGGGATTAGCAGACAATCTCTAAACATGCGTATTGGTTGGAAAAGCTCCTTTCTAGAAAAAAACAATGGATCAAGTAAATAGCTCTGTCCTGGAGTTTTATTCAACCCACCTACTGTGACAGTTCCAAAAACAAAGTAGGGCTTTGACTGACCCCACTCTCTCCTAAGATGTGTTTGTAATCATAGTTTGAAAGTGGTCAAAGGCAAGGATATTAAAGTTTATGCATAGAACATCTTACACCAGGGCTGAACCTTGGACTCAGCAATCTAGATAAGAAATGCAGAATGAAAATTAGCCAACAAGGGTCATGGGTGCACAGCTCTCATGGACAGACACATTAGCACACTGAGGAATAAACCATGCCAGGAATCAAATTAGAATGTGCAAAGCTTGTCAGAGTCTTCTAAAGAATGCCATTTGCTCGGCAGTTTTAAAATCATACCAAATTAACCTCCAAGCCCACATGACCTAAAGGGCTGTGCAAAACAACAACATATTTACAGCCTCAAGTAATGAAGAAGTCAAAAAGCAACAAAGAGAATGAGCTGAGAAAGTGAATGTAAGCATAGCCAACCAATCAGTAAATGCTTCCCAGGACACACACTTACCAAGTATATCCCCAAAGTTGGGCTGCCAGATGTTATGTTTGAATGGAAGCCAACCCTGGGTTTGTGAGAACACTTGCCAGACAGAGGAAAAGTTACTCTTACATTAAAAAACAAAACAGTCCTCCAAGATCAGTTATTTCTTTTCACTTTGGCAATATGATCACTTGGTAAATATTTCTCCCAAAGCTTTTCAGCTAATGGTTAAGAACTTAAGATTGGTCAGCTTACCCTGGCATCTGTGACCTTGAATTCTCTCAGGATATACTGTGGCATGTTGTACTCAGCCATGGGATCTACAACAAAGTATTGGTATCTTGCAGATCGTTCTGCTGGCCAGTATTGGTGACATTTCTCCTAAAAGGAGAGAAGATTAATGTCAAACTATATAAAGTACCAATAAATTTTTATCTATCATCTATCAATCTATATATTTAATTTCTTTCTCTCAATGAAAGTTCAAAATTCAAGGCCATTCCAATTACATGTGACACAATTTTCTCTTTGAAACCAAAAGTTCCTTGAGAATAGGAAAATCATATGGTTTAATATTTGCTCATGGCATCAAGCACAGTACTTACACACAGTAGCTTATTAATACACATCAATTGAATTAAATGCTTTGATAGGGCACGTGTCTTCATACCTACAAGTTCTCCAAATACTAACATTGGTCTTTGGATATAATGCTGGCCCTATCAATCATGCATTACACCACCAGAGCAGACTTGCGTCACTGTGTTATGGAATGAATAGGACCATCAAGTGTGAATGCATAAGGAAACCTCTATATTGATCTGGTCCAATCTCACTTGTCAGCTGAGGAAACTGGAGCCCAAGAAGTATTAATGATCTGGCTAAAGCAGAGAATCAACTATGAATATTCAGAATAGTCAGGTTACTTTCCTAGTTTGGCATTTGTTGCTCTCTTTATTCACTTTAAATAAGGAGCTTTAGACCCATTTCCACATTTATGCAAGGAAGAGAGAAAGAAAATATCTTAAACAAATAGAATAAAATGCTTACATCTATTGAATCTAAGTGGTAAGTCCTTACTTAGGTATCTCTAATACTATTTTATGTATTTTTCAGAATAATCACTTTCAAAAAGTAGATCTGAGATGACCAGATTATATTCTTGGAAAAACTATGTAACTTTCTAACACACTATTCAATATGGGGTGGAGGGTGGGCAGGTAAGAATTTGCTTCATGAGTGAAAGAAAGTCAAGTTTCTTCACAGAGAAATGATGGCACATTTGCTCATGAAACTCCAGCTTGTCCAGGGTGGAAGGAAAAAAGATTATGCTGAGAGTTGGGACCGATGTCAAACAGGGACATCTGTTTCTTTGCTCCTATGATCGTGTCACACTGGAAACAAAATACCAGCTCTTTCTTCAAAATGCACAAATTAATGAACTTGATTTGCAAGTTAAAAACCAACAAAAGAGTAATGAATGGTCCATAAGGTGTCTGGAGAACTCTACATTTCTAAGAAGTGATGCTGGCCCCTAGGTTATTAAGACTAAATCATCATTTCTTCATGGAGTAAATGTCTTATGAGAAGACACTTACTCTGCCCATCTCACGCAGCTTGGTGAGCATCACGACAATGGTGGAATTGTGTTCCCAAAGCATCCGCCAGAAATCTTCAGTGGTCTCTGCCAAGGGCCCCTGGGTAGCGATGTAGGCTTTCTGTTGTCTGTATTACAGAGAATAAAAGTAGCATGTTAAAGTAATCAGAGAACACGCAAAGGTTCACATTTGGTACATAAACATCACCCAGTAATGAAAACTAAAAACATATTTTCAGGACAATTACAGTAAATGTCCATTAAGATTGTGTCAACAAATGAGAATATTTACATTTTGGGGGCTCTGCAAAAGGAATTGCTTTGTTAATATTATGATGTATGTCTTTATCATTATTATTTAAATTTTAGTGCAACCCTAATAGCTCAGTTTCATATATCATACAAGTCACTTAAGAAACAGTGGTATGGTTTAATTTTATAGATATGACTTTACACAATCTATTAAAATTATGAAATACGGTATAAAACAGCTTCTTCATTAAGACCTTCCACAACCCAATGATTTCTTTTTATTTTTTTTTAATATTTTATTTATTTATTTGACAGATAGAGATCACAAGTGGGCAGAGAGACAGGTAGAGAAAAAGAGGGGGAAGCAGGCTTGCCACTGAGCAGAGAGCCTGATGTGGGACTTGATACCAGGACCCTGAGATCATGACCTGAGCCAAAGGCAGAGGCTTTAACCCACTGAGCCACACAGGTGCCCCTGTAACCCATTGATTTCTGAAGGAAGAGTGCAAAAGGCCAGATTAAAGATTCCATGACTGCTTCTTACTCCTACCAAAAATAATAAAAAACAAATACCAAGGGTCTGAATGCTGACCTATGCAGAAAAAAGATGCTTTGAACTGAGATGAAATTCATTCTGGCTGTGAAACTAGGGCACATGTAAATATCAAGGCTTTGGACTGTCAGGGGAGCAAGAGTATATACCTGTATCCATCAATAAAACTGGCATTGATGTAATCAGATCCTTCTACCCCTCTGATAGGCTGCAGGCATACCCTCGTAGATTCATATGGCATAATATTAACAAGGCGATTTTTGAATTTATTACATGGAAGATTGGCACTGATGAATCTTGAGGTGTGAGCTTTAGAGCTGGCTAGACGCTGTTGAATAAAAGAAAAGAAAAAAATCTGACAAAGATAATTTTAGCCTATGGTCAGATGCAACGTATTCAAGATTTCCTCTTTAGATATAAAGCTTATGTTTACTTTAAAGCAAAGGACTCTTCAAATTGCACTGCTTTTCACTTCTACCTAATGATTCCATATAGTTTACCAAATTTTTAAATATGTTCTGAGAGTAGGATCTCTCAATTTAAATTACAGTACAAAAGATCTCGAGGTATTGTTAGGAAGCAAAGAACAGAAAAGGGAAAGAGGAAGAAAGTGTTTTATAGTCAGACACTTGAGAAGGTCAAGTGAATCTTGTAACTTCAGAATTTGAAAGGTTAAGAAAGTGAAGCCACAACTCAAAGACAATCCCAGAATGACTTGCTCCTGAATTACCACATCACATCCAATATCATACCTTAAATTCAAGCTCCATTCCTGTGACATTCTCTCCTGCTTCTATTTGTGTCAGCTTCTGAATGTAGGCATACAAGTTTCTAGCTGGCACTTCGGTATTTCCACAAGTCACTGCTTCTAGCAGTGCATCATGGATAAAGATGTATTGGTCTTCTGTTTGAACCATGTAATTCCTCTGGGCTCTCATTAAAGTTACATGGCCATAAATATCTACAGTTTTTTCATGCTTTATTCTTTCTAACATGGCATCTATTACGATGAAACAACCCGTCCGGCCAACTCCCGCGCTACAAGAAAAACAAAGAGAAAAGAGAAGTCCAAATAAATCTATCAGAACACCAAAACATAAAAAATTATTTCAATTCTCACTAAGCGGGTTTTAAACCCATTAATTCTTTTCAACTATCTGTTGGGATTATTTTGGAGCACTCTAAAGTAAAAAGTATTATCAAGTCACTATAACCAGAAGATAGGGAATCAAATACCAAGTAAAATTAATTTGGTTTCAAAACGTAAAAAATTAAATCCAAAAATATTGTGGTCCTTGATCATATAATACAGAGTAGACATTATTTTGAAACTGTTAAAAAACACAAACACGTAAGTTGTTTATATTAGAAGATATTTTAAAAATTGGTTAAGATCTAATTAGGCTTTATCTTTTTGTAAAACTTCTCCATCTATTTCACTTCAATTTGTGAAATAAAAATTAGAAAATCACTCAGTCTGAAACAGTTCATATTCTAAAACCCAGCAAGGAAGTTTTAAAATCAACTTAGTGGGAAATAGATAATTAAAATATTAAAATGTTACACACTGAAAAAGGTGCAGGGTATTTACAATGAAAATAAATTCCTACTAAAAATATAATCACTAGAGAGTAGGTGTGCTTTTTGTTTTTACTCTCTTCTCCTCCAGAGTCGAATGTATTTTGAAATTCCAGGTGAAATTCAAGTATTCTGTGTGGGAAAATAAAAACTTTAGTCTTTGTTACTGAAGATCCTCTGAGATATTTTTTAAACTCCATTACTTTGGGACTTATGGATCATTTTCCAGTTGGTGGAAACCAATTCAAAGACGAAAAGGTGAGAGAGTGAGCAAAACCCAAAGACAAGATCTGCTGGTCCAAGGAGACAATCTAATTTACTGAACTGGATTAGAGAGTCAGGTGGTTGAAACATTGGAATTTCCTCAAGTGTTGAAAAGAATACTGGCAAAATAACACATCTGTTTTCTTAAATCTCTATGTAAGCCTTGTCTCTTATCAAACTCTTTAGAGTGAGTCTGTTTATATGTCAAGTATGGTTGAATCCAACATATTTTTCTCCTCTTTTTTTTTTTAAGACTTTATTTATTTATTTGACAGAGATCACAAGCAAGCAGAGAGGCAGGCAGAGAGAGAGGGAGGGAAGCAGGTTCCCCAGTGAGCAGGGAGCCCAACGTGGGGCTCGATCCCAGGACCCTGAGACCATGACCTGAGCTGAAGGCAGAGGCTTTAACCCGCTGAGCCACCCAGGCGCCCTATTTTTCTCCTCTTGATCATGGATATTTACCTGGCTGGGAAACATGTAATCAACAGGAATAGGTATCCGTCACCACCACAGACACTAAGCAACAGACAGTCTCCTTCATTAGCTACATGCCACTGTTTCCTGTCATTTCTGTATCTATGTGGTTATTTATTTATCCATCTGTCCACTGACACATCCTTTTCTCTCTCTTTTTTTTTTTTTTAGAATTTATTTATTTATTTGACAGACAGAGATCACAAGTAGGCAGAGAGGCAGGTATAGAGAGAGGAGGAAGCAGGCTCCCTGCCGAGCAGAGAGTCCGATGCGGGGCTCAATCCCAGGACCCTGGGATCATGACCTGAGCCGAAAGCAGAGGCTTGCGGGGCTCAATCCCAGGACCCTGGGATCATGACCTGAGCCGAAAGCAGAGGCTTTAACCCACTGAGCCACCCAGGCACCCTGTCCTTCTCTTTATTCAATGAATAGCACTTTGTTAAGTAGCATAGGGAATACAACATTAACGATGACTTATCATGCCTTTAAGAGCTTAGCATCTGTCAATGAGATAAAAGGTTACTTAACCATTTATACTAAAAGACAAAAAAGAGAGAAAGAGAGAGAGAGACTAAGGAGGTGTCAGTTCTGTGGATGATGTGGCATTTGAACCACGACTTGGGAGGGTAGGAAGGACTGGGAGGGTAGGAAGGACGGGGCAACTGAGGAGGCTAGAATAACAAAAGAGAAACAATGGCTTTTGCAGTCAGACTGTTGGCTCTGGGAGTTACATAAGAAACTTTCCATTGGCCTAGTGAGGCACTTGAACAAGGAATGTACCAGAAGTCCAAATGAATGAGTTTAGTGAGCACTAGGGTGCCTGACACAACTGAAGTGGCAATTTCTCTAGTGCCAAGTGGCCACAAGGTAGTTAAGTAAGCATTTTGTAACAAATAATACCTTCATTTAACTACTGAGCAGTACAGATCAAATCTAGCTTCCACAAAGTGACATGCCATTGAGATCTAATGCAAAAGCCCATTGAGACAGAGTCTTTGAAGTGACAGAACTATTTGTTAGCACACGATTAGAGAGGTCCACAAAGTCCCATTTTATCTAGTTTGTTCTACTAATAAACCTATGAGAGGGCAAATTTTTCCTGTCATTCTCCATCCCCCTACTTCCTCCCCTGCCCCAGGCAGGATTAATCATCCTCTGTTCCTGATCACTTAAGTATAGTGTCAAATATCACCCCAGTACAGTCTCAGTTACATCACATTCTTAATTAACCTGGTGGGTCCGCCATCCACAAATCATGGTGCATTACAGAAACTACATTTTCTATTGCCTTTGTGTGCCTTGCACCAAGCATGCAGTCGGTGCTCAATAATGTTTGTAAAATAAGAAAATAAGTCAGGATTGGCATCAGAGCTCTTATGTAATGAGCAGCCATCCATGTTCAGTAAGCCCACTGAGGAAGCAGGACTCTTCAGTTAGTGAAAGAAATCCCACATTTGACAAAAAGCTCAGAACTGTGCAGAGAATGCCTGAAGACTGCTCCACGGTGCTGGGTCGGGAGACCGGAAAATGCTTTGAGTGGCCTCCATGTCTTGGTCTTCTGATCTGCCATCACAGTGCAATTAAAAGAAACAGAGTAAGACAATCTGGAGAACGGAGGTAACCTCCTACAATGAGGAGGTTCTAAGACTATGAGTAATACCTTTTCCTCCTTTCCTATATTGTTTTTCTTAGTTGTTTTCATCCTAATTGTGCATTGTTTCTAACTGGATATAGCTTCATGCAGTTCTTTATAGTGGAAACCATTCCATAAGCCTTATAACTGAGCCCTAAATATTAAGTCAGTTCTAGATACTGGTGGGATATTTCCCCAAAATACACATCAAGGACCACTCTCAAATGTCTGGATGATGCATAGATCTATATTCAGAGAGAAAGATATCACAGAATCTTGGGAAATTAATAGGAATGACTAGTTTCAAACAGTAGCAACCTCTTCATGGTGGTAATGAGAGAAAAAAATAAAATATATATCTGAGTCTAAATTACAAACTATGGAGAGAAAAGAAAGAAGATAGGGTATGCCTTAAGCAAAACCCATTTTTTCTCCCCAAAATTCAAAATACTATTAACTGTCCAATCTTATATGTAAGATAAGGAAGGAGCTGACCCTTTTAACTAATGCGTTACCTCTTCTTTAGGAGGAAGAGTTCTTAGGAGTTTTAAATATTAGAGGTGTCTCTTAGCTTGAAGTAAAAAGGTACTTTTTCCAGATATCAGCAGCTGGGGGCATTTGAGAAAAATCACTTTTAACTTCTTCCTTGCTTTCCCGTTTTTCTTAAATTGAGATAGTCTTTAAGTCTTAAGGCTTAAGGCTGAATTAACCATACAGAGTGTTTTCCAAACATAAAGGAAGAAACAGTTACTTTGTAGGTACAAACTGCATTTTAAAATTATACCTCTGAAGCTGACAAAAGGCAAAGGTAGTGTTGATGCTGAGAAAATTATGATAAAATCACTGCAGGATCGTTTGAGATTAGGCTTTCAAAATCTTGCTTTAAGCTACCCCCTCAAGCTGTTCTCCCCTCTATCCTCCTATTTCCAATAAATAATATGTTACACTGGAAGAACTTTCTGCTTTCCCATATATTGTCATGGTAAACGAGATGGCAGTAAAGCTCCTTCCCACCATAGTGCTTGGTTCCTGGGAGGCATTCAGCAAAGGTCTATCAGTTCCCTTTTCCCTTCTATGATTTATAACATTTGAAAGCTGCCCTCCAGTCCTATAGCTAATGGTAAATGGCCAAAAAGGGACTCAAATGGAGGCTGTGCAGTGCTAAACGTTAGCACCACGTTCCATGGCACTATCTTTGCTTCCTATTATTTTCTGCCAGTTGGATCAGAAAAAAAAAAGAAAAAGAAAAGAAAACAAAACAAAACAGAAAAATACCTTTCTTGTGGCCCACCCCTCTAGAACACCCTTTTAGCAGTGTTCAATAATTCCGAATGCAAGTTCCTTGAAAAGCTTTTTTTTCCCTTGGTTTCTGTGCCACTGAATATGGGATACAACAGATACTTCCCTTGTGGTCGAAAGTAGGAAAATAGGGACCTTCAGTACAAAACCATGCGGAACATGCAGCCCGTGAATTGAGCCAAGAGGGACTGTGATTCACCTGGAATGGTTCCATTGACTCCATGACAGGGTAGAATTTCTAGCAAGTGGGAAACCAAGACCAAACTCTAAAAGCCATCTTCAGAAACCTACTGGCATCCCTTTAGATTGTACCTTGGTGAGCCATGTTTTTTTCCGTTTAATGTCTGTACTGATTAGCCTCATGCTTTGGATTTTTCCATTTGTATCTTTTGTTCTAATTCACACACCTCAGCCAGCTTTCAAAATGTAGATAATGTCCCCAAAGTTCTGTCCTCCTTTCTCTCATTCCCCCTCATGATTCAACAATAATCTTAAAAAAAAAAAAAAAAAAGATTCCTAAAGCGATAGACCTTTCACTGAGCATAAGTGGAGAACCATATTTCAAGTTGCCCTCAAGTTTCTCTAAAAATAAATAGATTCCAAGATTAATCGGCATCTTCTCTGCTCAAATCTGCTCTTCCCTCTCTCTCTTTCCTTACTATTCAGGTCTAAAATTTAAGAATCAGTTTGGGTTGTTTTTCCCTCCTGCCCTACGTGATAATAAATTATAAATTCCTGTGCTTTCAACCTCTACAAATTTTATTCAACTATTCATCAATGGTGTGCTGGA